AACTTAAATGTCAACATGAATGGTTTCCCTGCCGATCAAAGCAAAAAAAAAAAAAGATGATTTTAGAATGCATGATGCGGTACTTGAAGTACATCAGATTTTGAGACAGCGAGTGAGTCAGGTAAAGGTTTGTGTTGCCTCGGGGGCAGCCACTTTCCTTTCTTCTCTTCTTCCTCCTCCTCGCCTCTGTTCTGACCCCCTGTAAATAGCAATAGGAAGTTAAGTTTAAATTTAAACTCAATACATGGGGAACTTCCACATTTCTAGGTTCTGCCAGGAATCTGAACTGAAATGATTATTCATGTTTTCCCACCTCTGCTAGAGGAAAATGTGACCATCAAATTACTTGGAACAATTTCTTGGATGTTATTTGTTTGATTATGACATGTGCCTGCACACTCATCTCATCTTTAGTGAGTCCTTATATTCTTTCCAGAACACAGTTACTCCCTAATGATGTGTCTGATTGCATTGTTTATTTTTATAATTATTTTTATTGGAGGGATTTTTGGGAATAAGAGAAGAATCAAAATCACATATAGAAAGGAATACTGTATTTCATAAAGTAAGTGTGGAATTGGTGTTCTAATTAGAAACGAATACAAGGGTCATGTTTCAAAGAATTAGGGAAACTTTGATGTCAATTAAACCAGCTAATTAGAGTGTGCCCATGCAAAACCCTGGTTTGACTATTCTGGATTGCTTGTATTTGGAACAAGTGCTGTGATTTCTGGACTAAACCTCCTTGGAGCTTCCCCAAACATTCCCATCCACTCAACCCACTCCTACCCTCTTTGAAGCCTGTGCAAACAGATCAGCTTCGTAACTCGGCCTTAAGGCTGGTATATCTGGCAGACCAAGGAGACCTCTAAGTAGACAACCACTCCCTGAGATCATCTTGCCAGAAGGCGTCTGTCGTTCAACCCAATTTCACTGAGCACAGCACAGTCTTTCTGACATTCCTTGTAAAGCTGGAGCAGTATTCTCATTTCTCAGCGTGACAGGTTAGCATTGTACTTCGTAACAGGCTGGTTGGATGGAATATGCCTTGCCAGTTCTTGATTCGTTATTAAGCAGTCCTTACAGTCAAGGTTAGTTAAAGAACAGTTGGTGACCCATGGAAAATTTGACAAGGCCATTACATTAGGAACTATCCTACTTTTGTTGGCCCAACCTTGACTACCAGAACTACAACTGCCGTTCTGTTCTTGGAAATTCCCATTTATACCTGAAACAGATTGCCTCTCTCAGTGGATGTCCTTTGCTTGCTTGGAAAAATCTAAAATTTTGGTTTGCGTAAGGGATTTATGAGTCACGCGAATAGGCTGGGAAATGCTGTCTTTTGTTTCTCCACATTCTGGGACAAATAGCGTTTCTTTTCCTGTCTCCAGGGCTCTGTCTCTTGTCTTTGCTGGCCCCTGGTATATCTCTTTTCATTCTATCTCCAGTTATAAGATTGGTTGAAAGTGACTTGGTCCCTCTGGGTGTTTTCATTCCTCTCAGATTCGCGTAGTGTTTGCTCTTTCACATGGCTTAGCAACTGGTGTTCTGTCAACGTGGTTGGCTTCATTACTGACTTCTCTCAGTCTGGGAGTAAGTTTAAAATTAAGGGAATGTCTGTTAATCCCTCCGACCCATCATTTCTCTGGCGCTTCCCCTTCAGAAGGCAACATTTTCCTCAGATCAGAGTTTGTGGTCTTCTCATCTTGCCCAGATGTGGGAGGCTTCAAAAGTTCTTTCATCCTAAGGTCCAAAGCCACTGGAAACTGATGGGGGACTTGAGCAAGTTGTAGACTAGGTTCTTGCTGTCATTCTGTAAGTCTGCTCTGTAAGCCTTTTCATGAACTCCAGGATTAACCGTCCTTCTGCTTTGCCTCAGGGTCTCTTCCTCACCTCCCCTGAGGAGAAAGAGTTAGAAAGAGGGAAGAATGTTCTCAGGTTTGTGCTCTTTCTACCCAAAACTGGGGAAGTTTAGTCATTTGGAGCTCTCTGTGCCCTTAAGATTGTCTATGAAATATGATGATGTGGGTGATCTCACCTGTTTGTGTTCAAAATAGGTTCCATTGTTCAGAGTGTGCTGTGACATTTTGCTGCCCTGGACTTCAAGTACTTTCACACACAGTTGTCCCCCACCTCTGCTTGCTTATGTGTTTCGCTGCCATTTGACAGTCTTCCCTGGGACGCTCTAGTAACAAGGGCAGACCCCACTAGTGAGGGATGAGACTTTCCTGCACAGGCAGTTTTGTTGTTTTTGTCCTGATCTTGCATTACATCCACAGTAGCAGTCATTGAATGCTTCTACTACCAGTTGTGCTTCTAGAAGCCCAGATTAGACCTGGGGATAGAGGAGAGGGGACATCTCTCTTGTGTATTAGAAGTCCCACTGGCAGGATGAGGAAGGGTCTGATGGCATTTCTGCAGCTTTGCAAACTGAATAAATGGAAGGTGGGTGTGCTGTGAGACACTGGTATTTGGAGCAGGGGAAGTGCATTGGGTTTGGTTTATCTGTTTTCTGTATGTGTTGCAGAGTATGAGCAACTGTGGGAGACTTCCTGCAATGAGCTGCTGGTCTGTGTCACCAAGCCGGGATGCGAAGACTATCCCAACATGGATTCCGAGGAGAGCTGTAAGCATCAGCCTATGGCAAAGCTGTATCTACTGTGACAACTGTGTTAAAATACTAGCACTGGGGCCACAGATCCCAGGCCATATAAATCAGGGAGCTTCCTAAGCTATAGCTAATCCCAGTAAGAGCTCTTGCTATGCATCACTTGAACAAACATGGTAAGAAGGTTATTTGAGGAGGGATGTGGGGATGGCTGTATGTTGACAGTCACAGAAATAACAGCCTAAAGCACTGTCCATGTCTAGATTGTCAAGTGCTTTGAAAAAATGTGCAGTGGGGTATAATGCTTATTATATAGATGGGGAAAGTGAAGTAGGGAGCTGAAGGACCAGGTATCTCTTCCATCCAGTGCTCATGCACAGTTCCTGTACCTCTGCAGAAGACCCCCCCCACCTTCCCCAACTTCCATGGCAACCTCTTGTCTGAGTGACAGAATTAACCTTATCCCAAGTGCATCCCAAGATTGACAAAAGGTGCAGGGCTAGAAAAGCAGTGTGGGTTGGGGCCTGATAGAAAAGCTCGAGCTGGCTGGGAAAGCCTGCCCAGTGGAACACTTCTTCCATTAACCAGCAAAAAATTGTGAGTACCAGGTTCAGTCATGGTCCTATCCCAAACCTGTTGGGTATAATTTCCTATAGCCCAGGAACTGCTGTGTTGGGGGCACAGCTGCATAGATGCACAGGATTGTCCTGCATGATGCTGTGTTTCAGATAAGCTGTCCATTTCGGAGGACTCCTTCCTGCTGACTGCGGACTCTGTGTGGGGAGCGCTCAGAGGTGAGGTGTGTTCACCTTTGAGACTATTTGATATTTACTATCCTCCCCCGAGCCTTCCTATGACCCCCACACCCCTTTTTATGCTCCGTCTCCTGGGCTGTGTTCCATGCTGAAGGCCTAATGTTGTATGTGGTTGTCTTACAGGCCTGGAGACCTTCAGCCAGCTCATTGGACGGGCTGAAGATGGCACAGTGAGTGTAGTGCTTGCTATTCTGAAGTGTGGAAACATGGGCACAGCCTTCATTGCAGGCTGCTAGTGCAGACTCCTGTGGTGATGCCCTGCCCAACCTCATGGGGCCAGTGAAGCCAGTAGCTGAATATGGGGAACCCTGGGAATGAGCAGGGAGGAGAATCTTTTCCAGCCATGTGCCTCAACGTGTGAGGTTTGTAAAGACTCTGGGGGTTAAGTTTTAAATGGGAATCTTCAATGGGAGCGAGCGAGTGTGGGTTCATAATGAAAGGCCCCACACGATGCTTTTTCTTGGGAGGGGAGGAGTCATGTTGTGGAGCTTTGTAGCGGGTCCTACTGGCTGGCTTGTCCAAAGGGCCATCTATGGGCTAATAGGAATGCTCAGTCATCCATGGGCTAATGGGAATGCTCCTGCCCAGCCTTCTTGGTCCCTAAGGAGGTGGAGGCCTCTGCTGAGAAGGAAGCTAACCCTACACAGTAAGTGCATTCATGGGAATATTACAGTGTGTTTGTGTGCTTACTTAGGGTCCCTTACTTGCTGAGGGGCTGACGCACTCTTTTCTGTGCAGTACTATGTCAATAAGACTGACATTGTGGACTTTCCCCGCTTCCGTTATCGAGGCTTGCTGCTGGACACCTCTCGCCACTATCTGCCTGTGGAAGCTATCCTGGAGACACTGGTATGTGTACCTGGAAATGCCCTGTCTTACTAGCAAGTTTCTCTGCCTTGAAAGCAGATCAAGCCATTCACTATTCTCTCCTGGAGGATTCCTCAGGACTTCCTGAGTAGGCTTGTAGATAGGCTGACCATAAGGACATCTGGGCTCGAATGGGTGTTGAAAGGATGCCACTTGGTCTGCAGCACCTCTTAGCAGTGATGGTGCACACAGTGGGCAGTTCTCTGTGTGACCCTTCGATCCTAGAGCTGTTGCTTGGGTGCATGGTCCTGTCCTTCGATTGGAACCTGTTTAGAAATAGAACCCTGAGGGTGTCCTACTTGCACTCTGTTTAGAGTCCCTGTTTAGATGCCCAGGGCACTCAGAAGGAAACTGGCTGACCTTCCAGAATGGGACAAGGCTATATTAATCTGTAACCCTGTTGCTTTCTTCTGGCTTCCAGGATGTCATGGCTTACAACAAATTAAATGTATTTCACTGGCACATCGTGGATGACCCCTCCTTCCCATATGAGAGTGCAACTTTCCCAGAGCTCAGTGAAAAGGTAGTATGTTCTGGTTCCCTCAACTCTGATGTAGCTAACAGTGGGGAGTTGCATTGTCCAACCCATGATTGATGGGTCTTTCTTTAAAGTCAGTGGGAACCTCTTGCAAAGGAGAATTGGGCTCCATATATTTTTCGTTTACTGATGCATGTTCTCCTTTGATGTAAAATGTGTTCTTGGCTTGGTACACAAGCCAGACATCGTGCTACCCTCAGAACCAGGTCTTTTTAGACCCTCCACTAGAGCCTACAGTGTCATACATTCCTTGGCTTCATATTGCCAGGGCCCTTTAAAATAGAAGCAGCAACTTGGTTCACAAGTGACATGAGCTGTCTCTCATTGTCTGCAGACCAGACTGCTGCTTATGCCGTGTATGGCTTAGCATAGCTGTCAGCCTGTATATGTGAAGGCCCTTGGTGGGGAAGGAAGAGCCTGTGGATGAAGACTGAGGGGGGCATGGGCAGAGCTATGTGAAGCTGTGAGCTGGGCTAGTGGAGGAACTGCTGGCCCAAGGTTGGGAGTGAGGCGGTTGTAGGCCTAGACTACATGTTAACGAGTGTGCTTGGTCTCTGTTTAGTAATCTTATCTTTCTAATTTCATGCTAGAATAGAATAGGGAGTGTGAGTAGAAATAGACAAAAGTTGCCTTACTCAGTTTGAGGAGAGGCAGCCATATGTGGTGCCATATGTGCCTCTCCCAGAGGCAGCTTTCCATCTCCCTTTGGTCTGGTGTGCCAGTGGTGTTAGCCAAGTAGATGTAGGGAGAGGACATGCATTTCCCTGGAGCTCAGCCAGGAAGGCATGCTGACCTGCTTTGGGGCACCAATAACAATTCTCAGCAGGAGTTGTCTGTCTAGACTTCTACATTCCCAAGTTGGTAGCAGCTGCCATAAAACTAGCATGGCTGTACATGGGAGGCAGAACAGTGGTGCCTCTGAGCTGTACCCAGCCTTCATAGCCATTGCAAGTGTCCTGGAGATGAATGTGGTGTCTTTCCTATGGGTGCAGAGGGGTCACACTGGCAAACGTCAGATTGGAGCAGGGCTGTTAAATTGGCATATGCTGAATTTGAAACCCTTGTGCAATAGCAGTACCATGTGACTGTTTGTGCCTTGCCCAGGGGGCCTACAATCCCATCACCCATGTGTATACACCGAATGATGTGAAGCTGGTGATTGAACATGCTCGGCTTCGGGGGATCAGAGTGATACCTGAGTTTGACACGCCTGGCCACACTCTATCTTGGGGGCCAGGTAAGGAGTAGGGCCTGTCCAGGACCCTAGATCAAAGGGGGTGGATTAGGGGTTCTGGGGCCCTGCTCAGAGGTGGGTCTCAACAGTCTAGATTTGCAGTACAGATCTCCAGCTAACTGTGTGCACCACCTTCCAAAGCCTGGCTCTTGGGGGCGACTGGTTTTTGACTTCTCTGAGCCTGTTTGATGCTTGAAGAGGTGGAAAGCAAGGCAGAGGACAGGGAGGTACCCCCACCCAACTCTGTCCATGCACCCCCTGCTGCCCCTCTTGTCCAAGTCCTATGCCTATAGTAACCTCTGCCAATGCCAGGAAGGTCTTGCATGGAGTCTTTGCTGCATTGTGTCCCTAAACTTTTCACACGTTGTACTCTGAACTTCTCTCCTCGGCCAGGCCTTGGGGAGTGATGAATGTGGTTTTGAAAAGCTAGGAACATTGAGTGGCTTTGCCAGTGCAGGGAAAGCTGGGGTTGCTTAAACCCTTCCTCACAGCGTTGTGTTTGGTATTTACCCAGGTGCTCCTGGCTTGCTGACTCCCTGCTACATAGGCTCAAAACCCTCTGGGGCCTACGGGCCTGTGAACCCCATCCTCAACAGCACCTACCAGTTCATGGCCGTGCTCTTTAGGGAGGTCAGCACCGTGTTTCCAGACTTCTACCTTCACCTTGGTGGTGACGAGGTTGAATTTACCTGCTGGTTGGTAATACTTCTCTATCCTAGACCTTCTTGAGATCAGTCTGTGTTAGGGAAGGGAGAAATATGGGGGGAGGAGGGGGTCAAGGGGTCTTGATATGGTACCACATTTTAGCATAAGCAGACTCCACTTAGTGAAGTAACTGAGATATAATTGTCCAGTGGCTAGTGTCACAGCAGTGCTAAGAAGCCCAAAATGAGAAAGATGCTATATGCATGCTTGCAAATAGGCTGTCCCTTCCCCAGTGTAAATAGACATTCTTCAAAGATAGAAATGGGGCTCAGGGAGACCAAATGCCGTGGCCAAGATCACACAGAGAATCTGAGGCAGAGCTGAGAATTGAACCCAAGTCTCCTCAATCCCAGTCAAGTGCTTTGCCACTACTGTCACCAGTGACTGTCAGCTGATGGGATAAAACAAACCAGTTTGGAGACCCTGGCTCTTAGTCTTAAGAGGCTGAATGAGTTGATCCACACTCACCACGGAGCTGTCTAAGGGAAGCTGACGCTATTGGCTGAGTCAGAGGCAGCTCTTAGGCTTGGCTTTTGTTGGGATGCTGGGGCAGTGGCTGTTCCCTATTGGATGGATAGGAAATGTGGGACAACAATCATGGGACTTTCTTCCCTGTCAGTCTTGACACATTCCCCATTATGGTATCAGACACAGCTTGGTGCAACACTTAGCTTTTATCCTGCTCCTCTGTCTCTCACAGGAGGTCAAATCCTGAAATCCACTCCTTCATGAAGCAGATGGGGTTTGGCCAAGACTACACTAAATTGGAATCTTTCTATATTCAGAGGTAAGGAGAAACTTGTTCAGGGTGTGCAGAGAACAGCCAGCTGCAGTGTGATGACCAGTGTCTTCAGTGGATTATAGGTCCACCCTGTTGCCATAGGAATCCCCATACCGCCTTCTGGGAGCAGGTTCTTTGGGAATACCACTGACTCCAGTGTCAGTTATGGGAGGAGCCCAGGCACTGGCTTGTTGGGCAAGTTAACTCTAAACTGGTCCAGGGTAATGCATATTAGCTGTGGAAGTGGGGTGAAGGGAACCCTGCTTAGGATGGGGGGGAAAATTAAACTATTCCCTGTCTTGCTGTGATCACTAGGAATAGGTGCTATTCCTGTTCAGACCTCCTCTCTTCCTCCCCCCACCCCCCATATGATGGAGGGTGGACTTGGGCATTACTTTGGCGGGGACAACAGAGGGAGAAGGTTGAACATGGAGGAGCTATTTGTATTTACTTAATCACACTTCTTTCTACTTTAGGCTGCTTGATATTGTCTCCTCCTATGGCAAGGGCTATGTGGTGTGGCAGGAGGTGTTTGATAACGGCGTGAAGGTGAGACCTGCTCGCCTTTCCTGGGTTCCCCTTAATTTTGGCAGCATAGCAACTAGACCTGGCCAGCGCACATCTGTTCCCTGCCCTTGGCATTCTTGGGAGGGGCCTGGCTGATTGGCAGTGGTGGGAGGACAACTGCTTTCTGCGTGGATCTTCTCCTGTCCTGTCCTGCCCCTGGAAGGGCACATAGATTGCTCTTGATGCTGGTGCTGCCTGGGGCTAGATTCTGCACACTCCCTCACCTTTTGGCTTTTTGCTGTTTCACTGATTTCTTGTAGCCTCTTCCCAACAGAGGCAAATCTGTAACCTTATCCTGGACACAGTGACGATTTAGGCCCTTTGCTCCCTTCACAGCAGGCAGTCATAACCTGCAGTTGTTCAGTTATACCCTAGTATAACTTATTCATTGCATGTGCCCTAGACCTGGTTAGGGGCTGGCTTACTCTAAAACTCACAGAAGGTAGGAAGGTTGTAATATAAAACTAGGCACTTGCTAGCATTGTTGGGGTTGTGGGGGAGGCTGTCCCAGTGCTGCAGCCTCTGTGCTCCTTGAGAAATGAGCTCCTTTTTGCATAGCTGAAACCATCCACTTCTGGGTTCTCTGCTAACAGCTGTGGAGGGGATCACAGTGTTAGTGGGAAAGGCCTCAGGTTGAGGGAGAGCAGCAGAGGCTCTCTGCGGAGGTGGATCTTGCTAAGTACTTACATGGCCTGTTGCTGTAGTAATTGAGGGTCTCAGTTATTCATGGATCTGTCCTTGAAGTAGGAGAATGCTGTTGTCCCTGCCTGTTTCAGGTGAGACATCAGGACATGGGGGGAGGGTATTCAGGACTTTCTGTGGACCATGTAAGAAGTGTAAGCCAGGAACAAACCCCAGCACCACTCTGACTGCCAAACCGTTCTCCCTGTCCCTGCTGCCCCTTGATAGTTCATGGGATGGGATGGGCAATACAACAGAATTGCCTTCCTTGGTACCTTGATTACACATGAGGCCAGGCATGTCTGTCAGGGTGATTAATGTCATGGAATGTGCCCAGTCCAAAAAAATCATCTGTCTGCCTCCCACTGCTGCTAGTGCATCAGTAACTTCCTGTTTCTGAGGTAGGGTATTGGACTGAACTAGCAGGAGGTAGACAAGTAGAACAAGACTGTGTATGTTTCGGGGGTGTGGGGGTTGGTGTATGTGGCACTAGGAGTGTGTTTTGAGAACTCTATATGCTGCACTTTCCCCTGTGTCCATGCTAGAGGTCCTCAGGTGGCCTATACGTATACTGCCATGAAGCCTGCTAGTGTTTGCTTTCAGGCCATCTGGCTGCTGCTTCTTGCCCATTAGGAGAGTAGGGCTTTTGTAAGGGGGTCAGTTCACTGAATGTGAAGATCATGCATGTTTCTCTTCCATGGAGCCAGGTGAAGCCAGACACTATCATCCATGTGTGGAAGGAAAGTGCTGTGCCATACCAGCACAAGATGGCTCAGGTCACCAAAGCTGGCTACAGGGCTCTGCTCTCAGCTCCCTGGTATCTCAACCGCATCTCATATGGGCAGGACTGGCTGGCAGCCTACAAGGTGGAGCCTTTGCAGTTTGCAGGTGTGTACCTTGTGTGTGTGTGTGTGGGCTGCACCAGCTTCCTTCCAGACTCTGTTGTGCCACCTTCTACAGTGTGGTGCGGGAATTGTGGCCAGTCACTCATCTGACTTGTCCCTACTGTGGCAGAAAGCCACCTTGGTTTCTCCCCAAAAATCTCTGCCCTGTGACACTGTGATTTAAATCTCTGTGCTGTGACCATTCAGTTAGGATGGGCCCCGCACACAGGGGACCACACCCTCAGCCTCTCTCTTTAGGGAACTGGAGCTGGCTGCATTCCTGAGGGAGGGGGAAACCTGCTCTCTCTGCCTACGTGACTTGCATCACTTACCTGGGTAAGGGGTTTCTACCTGGGGAGCTGGAATCTGCCCGGTAACAGGTGATGCATTTCAGATTGGTTGGCTGACAGCCAACTGGGGCTGACCTCCGCTGGCCCAGGTGAATGAGGTCACAGGGGCTATATAAGTTAGGACGGGGAAGGAGGCGGTCTCTCCTCTCCGGCCATGAGGTGACGCAGCAGCCAGGCAGGGGACAGAGAAGCCTTAACATCTGAAACTGGCTCTCTCCCCCCAAACTCACGAGCTAGGAACCGCCTGCCTCCAAAGGGAAACTTCACCTGCCTTTGGAAGATGCTTGTGAGTAAGCTACTCAATCTGATTAGATATTTAGCTGGAAGTATCACAGATGCGTAATCAAAAGGCTACCACAGCCAGACTGTTTGCTCTTTAGGATTTCTAGATATTGCTCTATCCTGTACCCTAGTTTACCCTACCCCCTGTAATCAATAAAGTTCTCCTTTTTGACTGGTGTGGGAGACTTATTGAGGGGTGGGTCTAAATTATGCCTAAGAGACCCCTTAGGTCTGTGGACTAAGGGAGACTATACCTTTTTGCCCCCGGACTTGGGGAAGTACCCCAAGTGCCTGTACTGGGTTGAGTACCCGTGGGACTTTAGGCCTGTGTTACCCCAAGGACACAGGGCTGCGAGACAGTCCACTCTCGGGGTGGTGGCGGCACGTTACCCCCAGACTAGTGAGTGTGCTCTGGGAGAGGGGTCGGCCGGACATAAGGCGCCCCTAGGGAGGCACTCTGGAGCCTGGAAGGTGGTCGGGCGCAGGGAGGTGGGTGGCTCAACGCAGGAGCACCCCCTACTGGCCCGCCTCACGTGGTGGAAACAGCGGAGGGATATGAATACCCAGCTGTGTTCCTGAGGTGGGATCTCTGCACCCGCCACACCTACCTCTGAAACAAATGAGTTTGAATGTATCCTTGACTCCAGTCACTGGCAGCCACTGTACTGGTCAGTAGATGAGGGCCAAATGGCTTTGTTTTGGGCACGAACTCTTCTTCAGCACATGCGTTAAGTTGGGTGGGGGCCTCCAGAGCAGAGAACTGAAGTCTCGCTGGGCTATGTAACCTGGGGACTGTACCACACTCCACCTCTGGGCCTGGTAGGGGCTGCTGGTCCCAGGATCACCTGTTGTTTTCTGATAATTCAAACCCAGTTCAGCTATCACCCAATGGACCTAACAGTGTCTCTTCTGATAGGGACCTCTGAGCAGAAGGCCCTGGTGATTGGTGGAGAGGCCTGCATGTGGGGCGAATATGTGGATGTAACTAACCTGACCCCTCGACTCTGGTAAGAGAACCTATAGGAGGAGCAGGGCTCCACCCCTTCCCTTCCCATTTGGAAGATTTTGGGTCTTATTCTCCCGAGTGTCATACACTGCAAGGAGCTCTGGTGGAGCTAGGTTGTTGCAAGAAGGGAAGCAGGGCCTCTGTGTGTGTCAGTGCGAGCACAGCAGCTGCAGTGGGTGTGCCTGTAGCTGGATTTATGGCTGTGCCTGTATGAAAGGGAACAGCTCCCACATGATACGGTGAAGCTGTAGAGAGGAAAGTGGAAGGGAAGTCCCACAGTTTGTGCAAGTTCATTGCAATTCAGAGCACAGTGAACCTGTGCCTGGCACAGTACTCCATAGAAAGTTGATGCAGTAGAGTACTCCCTGTGTTCGGAGTGTAAGGAATACTAGCTGATTCCACCAACCAGTGGTCTTCCATCTGGGTGCATACTCAGTGTAACAGCAGAGATCACACACCTGAAATGGTTGTAGATGAGCAATCACACTTCAATGACTACAGCTGGACTAGGCCTTTCTCTCTCCTCACTTGGGGCATTCATCATTGTGGATTTCTGTGAAGCCCACCTGCATGTAATTGCTTTAGGCTGAGTGTAAATTACTTGTGCCATTCCAGTCTTTATGTCTCCCTGGAATGGAGCTAACTGGCTGTTCTGGTCTGGCCCCAAGGTTTTTCCTTGAGACATGTCAAGGGATTCATTTTACAATGCAGAGTGATCTTGCCTGCCTCTAAGCCTGCCATGCCCAGTGGATCTGGCTCCAGATTCTGTGGCTGAGAGTAGCTGTTAGTGGGGGCACCTTTTGTGGAGATGAGTCTTTAAGGTCTCCTTGGTGACTCTGCTTCCTTTTTGCTCCTCTGGCTCGCTGTTGGCCAGTACTTACATTGTGACCTTTGCTCAGACAGGTCTTGGGAGGATTCATTGAGTTAGCTGTGCTGCATCCTCTACTCTGGGGCTGGTAAATTTTAGCTTAGATTTATCTTCCCCTCATCAGAACTTCTGTTGTAGTGGAGGATTTCAGATGCTTGCTATAGCACTATGATGTCTGCTCTGCCATCATGCCCTGCTTAGTGGATGCAGATATGACTCAGAAGGGTGCCTTGGGGTTCACACAGCTGTTTATTGGAGAAATACCAGGGAGGAGAACCAGCTGACTTTTTTTTTTTTATTTTATTTTATTTTTTTACTTCTACATGTGCTTGCTGTATAGAGTGGGGGCTGAAATACCATCCCATATGCCACTCAGTTCAAGGCTTCTCTTCCCCTTCATTTACCTTTTAATCCCGAAGATAAGCTACCCCATACTAGCCTTCAGTCGTCTTAATTCTTGATCCAGTTTCTCCTGGAGTTAGTTAAACAATGTTTCTACTGACCACACTTTTGCAAAGCTCAGTGGTCTGGGTCTAGCAGTGCTTATCCACCAACAGTGAAAGCTACCAGGGCCCCAAGCATTCTTTGCAGTGTTGATGCACCTGGCTGATAGATGTGTATTTCTGCACCCATGGGAGTGGCTTTATCAGATGGGGCAAGGCAGAAGTGACCAAGTGCTAACCATCTTCCTCATTGTCCTTTAATGTCCCAGAAAGACTAACCCCTTTCCATGTCTTACTTCCTGAAGGCCGAGAGCCGGGGCTGTAGCTGAGAGACTGTGGAGCAATGAGACAGTGGGAGATCTGCAGGATGCATATTACCGGCTGGCAGACTTTCGCTGCAAGCTACTCAGGTAACATCCCTGTCTGTTGTAACATGGCTAGGGATGATGACTGCCTTTTGCATAGTTCCTTCCCACTTGGGACTCTAACTTGCCTTAGAGATGGGAGAAAGGGAGTTGCCCAAACACCTGGTGTGGAACACAGCAGAAGCAGTGAGAGGAATGGTGCATCTCTGAGGAGACCCGTAATAAGCTAAAACTTCACCAGGGTACTTGAGTTAAAGCCATGCTCTTATGCCAAGTTTCCTGGGATCCTTAATGCCTGGGAGTGGGCAGGGCCTTCTTTGTCCATCTCCAGAAAATGGCACCCCCCCCACTGCTGCTGGCACCCCCCCCCTACTGCTGCTGTTTTGATGGTATTTCAAAGTGAAGAATACCTCCTACATCAGGGGCAGGCAATTATTTTGGGCGGAGGGCTGCTTACCCAGTTTTGGCAGGCTGTCAAGGGCCACATGGGTAGCCCTGCCCCTTGACAGGTGCCCCGCCCCCTGGTCACCATCTTGGGACCAATGTTCCAATGTCTTTGGTCCCAAGACATTGGGACATTGGTCCCATATCCCAGGGCCATCACTGGTGGGGCCCAAAGCAGGGCACAGGCTGGCAGGGGTCTGTGGAGCTGGGCTGGGCTGTACCAGCAGGGAGAGAGGAGAGCTGGTTTGGCTCCAGAGAACCCCTGCCGGCTGGGACCCTGCGCTTCTGCCACCCTGTTCTGGGCCCCACTGGCACTGGCCCTGGGACACCAGTGTGGGCCCTGTGCTCCTGCTGGCTCCCTGTCCACTCACTCCCAGTGTCCCTCAACCCCGTGGTACAGGCGGGGGGCAGCGCGCAGCTGTGAAACCCTGCTTGCTAGCAGGGGAGAAGCTGGTGCTGAGCGCGGGGAAAATCGGCCCTTTACCCGCCCCACGGCTGGCATTCCCTGCTACAGTTGCTTGCAGCCCGCGTGGGACTATCATGAGCAGGCACAGGCAGCCCTACACGGGCTGCAAGCAGCTACAGCATGGGGTACTGGCCATGGGGCTAGTGAGGGGCCACTTTTCCCCGCACTCAGCACCAGCTTGTAACACACCCCTGCTGCCAGCCTGGTTCCCCGCACCAGCTCTGGGCTCACCCATTGGGGCTGCGTGCGGTGGCAGCAGCTGGGGCCCCCCCATGTGCCACGTTGGGCAGTGTTGGCTGCTGCTGCCTGCCCAGAGCACGTGCTGGGCAGCCCACAGGCGGCTGTGGCAAACACTTCTCGGGGAGCGGGGCGGGAGGTGGAGCTGCAGCTACTGTTGCCACACACCGTCGCCCCATGAGCGAGCCTGGAGCCGGTGCGGGGCCCAGGCTGGCAGCGGGGTCGGGTTACAAGGTGGTGCTGAGCGCAGGAGGGGGGAAAGTGGCCCCTTGCCCACCCCATGCCCAGCACCCTGGCACATATATCCACAAGGGACCAGCAGGGGAGATTATGCTTAGGGGCAATTAACACGGGTTCATTAGCGGCAGGTTCTGTCAGACCAACCTGGTGGCCTTCTATGACCAGATCACCAAATCCTTAGATGCAGGGGTAGCAGTGGACATAGTCTTCCTGGACTTTCGGAAGGCCTTCGACACTGTCTCTCACCCCGTTCTCATTAAGAAACTAGGGGACTGTGGTGTCGACACCCACACAATCAACTGGGTCGCCAACTGGCTGGAGGGCTGCACCCAGAGAGTGG